ACAAAATCATTAAAGCACGTATGCCGCAACAAACGTGAACAGAAGGGTCGGAAAATTTCTCTTTTAAGTGGAATCCCACAAGTATTACCTAGGAACTATTACGACCACTGCTTATGATAAGCGCTTTAAATGAGAAAACTCTGCAGTCATAATCAAGCTGACCACACAGCATGCTTCGTTACCATCTATTTGGAAGATTTGCAAATTTTTGTTAAAGATTTTGGGTAAAATTTAAAAAGACGGAAACCCACAGCCCCGGCTACAATTGAGCAATAGGTAGTGCTTACTGTATGGAAAAAGTGTTAAAAGAGTTCTCTTAGGCGCTGCTTAGAGAGGATGAGCCAGATTTTAACTTTAAGGAAAACATGTACAGACACAAGCCGACGCCACACAGGAGAATATAGGTATTTGTTGCTGCGATGTTAATGGATTAAAATATCTTGCCTTGCGCAGCCGCCTAGAGACCGCACTGCCAGGGCTTCGCCATGAAGACGAAACAAAATGGTGCAGAAAGACTTTTTAATCCTATTGGTATTTGAAAAACGCCACACACGGGTTATCCGGGCATATTGCTAGCTTTTTTATCTCTCAGTAGCAAAGAAAGTTTCGCCAAGGGAGGTTTAAGCTCATGTTGACATTGGAAATATGTTGATACAATATAATCTGCTGTAAGACAGATATGCATGGCAAAAACGCACAAACATAGAACACAGGCATCTACCTTCACATGAAAAGATAATGAATGCCGAAGACCCATCATAAAACATTTATACAGTAAACCCAAATTATTATTTTCACTCTGTTGACGAAATTTTGTTTCACATTAATCTACCACCCAGAACTCGTTGTGAATTAGCAAAAAGGATCAACATCGTGTCTGCAAGAAAAATCTGGCACCATCTATAGCACGCAGTATGTATAAATTCGATGCATCTTCACCAACCAGGCCAGTAGTTCTTGGCTAATACACTCCATTTTTATAAAAAAACGCTTTGTAGGAACACCAAGCTCGCATTGTCAAAAGTATGGAAACTCGGAAGGAAACTTAGCCTCAGATGGAAAAATTACATTGTGCATTTGAAAATGTTCTCTTGTGTTTGCAAAACAGAGCAGATTTTATCAGCTAATCTACTATGCTACGAAAACCTTCATGAAAAACTGTTATTAAGTGGTGTTTGAAACAATTTATAGTCTGTAATTGTAGCAAAGTCAATGTCAGAATAAGTACATTAAATAGCTACATGGAAGCAAGAGGGGTGTAAAAAGACTCAGTATTGTACCCATCCCTGGTAAACATTGCAAATCTTTAGATAAAACATCTCTTCAGCTATGAGCAGCAACTTGATAACACAACAAATTTAGCATTTTTAAAAATTATAATTAACTTAATCTTTATAGAATCGAATTATGGAAAAAATGCTATGTTCAGCCAGCAGAACACGGAACATACAACAGAACTGATACTTTTGAATACGGTGCGCATTGAATTTGCTCCGTTTCCAGCGTAAACAACGGAGACATTTGAATATTCTAACAAGCAACAACTTTCTGGCGTCACAAAAAGAGAATTCGAAACAGACGGTCGCAGTGACAAAACTTTTATTCACCACACCTTTGCAGAATTTGATACAAGCTGTTACGGCTTCGTGAAATTGTTACAGCGTTTTTGCTGGAACAATGTGACTCTTACCGTATTCATTTGAAAAAATCGTTTCTGTTTGAAAGGACAGCGTTTTTATCAACGAGAGGTAGAAAAGCGAATAGGAAGCACAAGGCATCACGGTATACGTAGCCTCAAAAACTTCTGATTTAACTCTCTAAAAAAGCTTGATTACCACATATTACTTTGTTGAAGACGACGCCTAAGGGGTCCCTTCACAACCACCTCCTAACCTTTAATGGTACCATGATTGGTTCGATTAGATGAATGACCAAAAACCGCAAAGGATTGCCGTAAAGAGACCTTTCAAAATCATTTGTAAGATCTTACATGGCAAAATTCTTAATTGCAGTCAAGTGCAAAGCGTGGATCTTTGATCTGCGGAAAAGCTAATGAAGAACTTTTATAAAGAAGTCATTAATGTAAAGGGGAGATAATACAATCGATATTGTTACAGTATCACGTCAAAAATAAATATAGGTTATCGCTTCACTTATCAGCCATCTTATCGCATGAGTTTAAATTTCAAGTCAGGTTTATTAGGTAATTGAAAGAAAAGCCCAATGCAATCGTGGTTAGTTTATTGCCCAAGGATAAAAGGAAAATCAGCTTCTGCGCGATCAAACAGGGGATGTAGGGCTTTCATCCATGGAAGCAAGAAAAGAGGATACTTAATGTCTAATCATTCCACAAAATTGACAGACAGCAAAAGGACAATGATCCTTTTATTGGTTGTTAGGTTAAGTAACGGCGAATAACTGCAAAGTTCAACACGACCTTATGCTTAGCAGACTTATATTAAATATTTTCAGTATTATGGTTAAAACGAAAACGCAAAAAACAGAAGCATTATTCATGCCTTCTCGTTTTCCATAAAACTGTTTTTAGATCACAATCAAGTTGATGAAACAACAAATTAGTTTAAGAGGTTTTTAAATCAGTCGTAACATAACTTTATTAACTTCAAACTGAAACAAAATTATCGGCAATTCACTCTTCAGCCAAGAAATAATGGAGTCGTAGTATTGAGGAAAGTCTAAATAAATTACGATTGTTCGCTATATCAACAAACAATACCACAAAACGTTGCCCTCTAACATTTCAAAGCTACTTATTGTTAATACTTTAGGAGATTGAAAACCATTTAATTTTTTTCTCTTTATTACGAGCAAGCACTATGAAAGAGTTTTGATCCATTTTCGGAGAAAACCGTTAGTAATTTAAACTTCGAGTAATTACGAAAGAACCATTTAAAATTTGAGAAAAAACGATTGGCTAGATTCAGTGCTACAGATGTCAGATGCCTGCCCCATTTCTTTGCACTATAAGCAAGGAGGCAAACCACTTCTAGGAGTTTGTGTGTGTTGCACTTTCCAAAAACCTAATACATTTTAATTATAGAACTGTTTTTCCGGGGCTTGCTAAGTGACTTTCTAATATTTTCCCAACTTTATTCGACTAAGAAATATCTTCTTGTCTTGTCAAGAAATTGGAAGATAAGTTTTATGGATTACGGTTGCCCAGTGGATTGGCACTTGATGAGTTCCATTTCGTTGGGGACCATCACATGTGACCAATTTGTTAAATGTTATCTAGTTCCACAAACTGAAAAAGTACCACTGCTCGTATGGAGATTCACTAGTTATCGTTCGAGGACTCACCACTTGTTTGGTTTCCTTGAATTTCTTTAAAAAACACTGGAAAACCAACACGCTAATCACAAAGGACATGTGAGAAATCATTTAAACGCCCTGATTTTTCTGGACACAGTGCTCTTTTGTAATTGAAAAGTAAGAGATCTATCTTTCTTAACCAGATAAGGACACTAAAGACATTAAAATCTATTCAGGTCCTTCATGCTCGGATCGCAACAAGCAAGTGCCTTGACTCATCCCTTCATGGCATACCTATGCCATGAAGTCTGCATACCTACTTTTGAATAGGGAATGGGGTTGCATTGCAAGGGAAGGGCTTCCTTATCTATTTCGTTAAGGAGACGGGGGTCAGATGTTAAATGAATGGCACGTTAACAATTAACGATTGCATACGAATGGTAACCCTTTAACCTGCGGGCAACATGCAATTTAGTTCACGGGCAGCTGTAAGTTGATCATCTGACAGTGCAGATTCGGGGATATAGAACGATCATATAGACTTAACACGAACGTTTTTGTACCCGCATTAAACGTAAGGTTCACCTTGACATGATTTGGTTGAAACTCATTTTCCGCAATCCACGCCATACTCACGCTTGGTGTTGGTTTTCAAAAGCCATAAAAAAGAGTTTTTAGAAAAGACCATGATTGCAAGTTGCGGTTGTAAGAAAAGGTTTCGTATTCGCCACAAGGCATACTGATTCTTTGAAGATAAACAATATCTAGACAACTTTGTGTCAATCATTGATAATTTCTTGATAACAGACGAAAAAATCTAGAAACATTTTTTTGATTGACATAAACCACCAAACCATCTCTATTCTGACAGAGACAGCGGTGTACGAGTTTGCGTAATACACGATGGAGCCTATATCTTATTGACTTGTATGATGTAATAAAGATGAAAATAGAGTGACACTTGAATTTATCGGAAGGAGAAAAAGCTGTGATATAAAAGGGTTCTGTTAATTTTCGTATGGTGACATTTCCCTTATTGCTTGAATTGATAAGGAGCCGCAAGTTCTTGGTTTAGGGGTGTGGATAAAAAGAAAAAGAGTCGCCGCAAAAACAAACATAGTCCATGTTCTAATTTTAGTTTTTCTCATGATATTCTGAAGGGGTTTAGCTATCAAACGACAAAAATAGACACAAGCAAATATTGACTGTATTTGGAACCAGTCAACAAGTTGCAAGATCAGAACCTTCTCAAAGAAATGCGGCTGTCGCCATCGAGTGTAATTTAGAAATACCTTGGTTCTCTTTCGTAAAGTACGGGGCTGATGGAACACAGAGAAAATGAAAAATTTTACTTGAAAAAAAAAACAAAAAATTTTTTCATCATTCAAATGACTGTAAATCGCAGGAAATATACAGTCGGTATACTGACAATTTTATGTAGCAACATGTGTTGCTGTTACAAAAAATCATCGGTATAGCAAAAGAAACAAAAAGAAACGATACTGAAATTTCGGCTGGAACAGTATTAGTAAAGAAGATATTCAAATTCGCTGATGTAATTGGGTAAAAACGAATTTGTACACCTCAAAATACGATTGACACATTAAAGCAACATTATTGAACAATAAAATTTGCTAGGAAAGTTTGGAAGTATCTGCTTTGAGGGCTTTTGCTGTGCTGAACGTCGATAATAAACGGAAAAAAAATTACTTTAAAAAGCAACTCACCTCGTTTCTTTGCAATTTCTTTCTCTTAAGGTGCACGATCAATGTCAACCCTTCACCACACGTCTCGCCAAGACGTCTATCCGAAAGAATTATTTCTCGTTCGCTAAGGGATGTTTCCTCGAGTCACGATTTGCTCTTCTGACGTTCCATTCAGCGCAACCAGTATTTATGGCTTAAAGAACAAAGCCCTTTAACATCATTGGTCCACCTATGGAGAAAGCTTACCTATAAGACCATTTGTCTTCTAGAGTTCCTATCACGATTATCAATGCTTATTGTTCATAGGAAAGGGGGATGTCCTACAAGGATAAGATTGGGGATGACATGAACGGTCTCTATTCCATTGACAGTATTTGTTTATAAGTTGTTTCTTATTTGTTTAACATATAATCAATTAAAACTAGTGCGTTAAACTGCAAATTTGTCCCTTCCATAATTGTTTCTTTTCGAACTACATGTTAAAAAAACCTTTCATAACAACAAGCCGCGGCTTTGTAGCGAATAGTGTAGTCATAAATTACTCTATTGTAAGTCATCGTATTTAGGGGACCTTTCATTCATTCTACATTACCAGAATGAAAATTTCCTTTCCGATTTTGTTGGCCCCGATGGCTTCGTCTGGACGACTTAAAATCTCTTGAGTAAATGATAGCTGTTGTTGTTGTTGACTCCTTTAAGAACATGAAGGTATGTTGCTACAGGAGTTGTTGATACAATTAATGGTTTCAAAAGCAGATTGCTAGCTGGCTTTGAAATAATTTTATGAGTTTGCCGTAATTTCTAACACATAACTCAAACAAAGTCTTTCCATTAAATATTATAATTCTGTTATTATAATTTGATACAAACAAACAGTATCACACAATGAGCGCACAGTTATTTTGAGGGGGAACTTCACGCGCAATACTCTCTGCGTAGCAAGTCTGGCGAGCCCGAGGACGAGGATATCTTCAGCAGAGGCGTATTTGGTATGAGCCCCCCACCCCCCTCAGCAATTATACGAGCTGGTCGGCAGGTACAGTAGTAATAAAATTGTCTTTGTCTATGTCCTCATCGGTAAAATTCACTTTGGATGACTTATCATGACTTTTGCTTTTCAAAAGCTCTAGAGTTTCGTTTTTTGTCTATTTTTAGGCAAAATGAATTTAATGAAGCTTGAAAATAAAGGGCTAAAATAGTTTGAACACTTTTCAATAAGCGTTCAGGTGCAGTATTGTAAACCTAGAGTACGTCAAGTGCTCTACCGCTGAGCTATCGGGTCGTGCTTTCAAGCCAACACCCAAGGCCGAGTCATTCACCCGCACTGCCCCTCTCTTTAGTTCGAGCCTCGCTCGGGTCGGTTATTTTCCCGCACTCTCTATTAATTAATTATCTTCGAAATCCTGTTGTCTGTAAAACCTAGAGTACTTAACAAAACGCCTCCGGTTCGAGGCTGTAAAATGCATGTTACGTCATCGAAATATAAATGAATTCTATTCTTGGTAATATTGCTGTTGACTCAGTAGAACAGAAGGCAGTCTTAAACCAATTAATGTGCCCAACTGTGCATTGCATTCATTTTTAGCTCAATCACAGCCAACTTTACAATAACAAAAAATTCAGCGAGCGTGTTTCATTTGTTTTGTTTCATTCAGTGGGTTACGTCTACAACAAGGCAAAAAAAACCAAAAATCAATGAAAATTTACAAAGTCTTTGAATAAGAAGGACAACGCGAAAGCAGGAAGAACATTACGAAAGTTGAGGCTTTGGCTTAATATTAATTTTTCAGACAAATATGCTTTGAAAAAGTGGTTTCGATGCCACTACGTCATAAACGTCATAAACGTCATGGCAAAAACGTCATAAACAAGTATTGAGATTTGCCTGATTTGATCATTCAGAAAGAATTTGAAGCAGTGGGCAAGAAGGATGTAGTACTCCCAGGCCCTAACAGCATGACTCTGTTTTCATATTAATCCGTTGTTGTTCATAAAATAATATACGAACCGTTCTATACGAAAAAAAGTTATGAAAAGGGAGACAAACCAGAACCGGATAATGGAAACAGCCCCTTCCCAGGTTCAGTTTTAAAGGGGAAAATATGAATTTAACAATATGTCTACTTGTAAAGCAGGGGGTGTAACAAATCTAGAAACTAAAATTTTAAGGTTGATATGTCAATACTTGCAACAACAATTTTCCAATTCTTAAAAAACAAGGTAACCTACTGTTCAACAGTATCGCGTTTTCCCTACTGAATTTCAAAGAGATCGTGTGGACATAGTTGAATTAAGATCATGAGACCCTATGGGGTATTCAGCCCCACAGGACGTCTGACGACGGAGTTAGTATGCGCCTATTACATGGCTATGTATGATTCTGAAATGTATACTTGAGGTACATAAACTTGATCATAAACAAGGCTAACAAGAACTTAAAAAGATGAATGAAGCTATATCAGAAGACACATCTTCAAAATTATGCCTGGTCCAATATCACCTGGAGCGTAACGTTTTAACGTGCGATAATTTCTTGTCACTTGTGGTTAAATTATAACAAATAACGATTTACAGCATTTTGGCCTTTAACTGCAGAGATGGGAATTCTTTTGATAGCACAATGTTTTACGTCTAGCACTATCATACTAAAGAGGTGGAAAATGAACTTCTTCATGGACTAGTTTTCCTTAGAAATTCCTCTCCCTGTTTCGAAATTTATCTTCCACAACGACTTTCAGCATGAATGAATTTTCATATCCAATTTGAAATCGTCCTAAAATCTTTGAAAAGATAAAAACTGTAAGGTTCTTAATGGGGTTTGCTTGTCCTTCCCATAAAGAAAGCTATTTCATTTAATTGGAGTTTATGAAAACTTAATTAGATCCTTATAAACCATCTTTTATAAAAAGGTTACATCAAAACTCTTCATTACCAGTAATATTGGTTAGAAGTACGACTTCAGTTACAGATTAAACGATCTTGTGAGGCTTCTTGAATGCAACAGTTCTATCTGAACCTGTACATCTTTGAGCATTTCAATCAATTAGATTTCTCCAGACAAAATACCTTGCTTTGAGGGTACAGACTGTTGCTAAGCTGGAATAGCAGTAAGATTTATTTACCAAGGGCTATGAATGGAAATGAATTTAGGGAGGATGACAGTTTCCTGCTAAAACAGACACCGGGGGCCTATTTCCGCCACTTCTTTTTCAAAAGCGAACCTCGTTAACCTTTCACTACAGTACAAATGACGTCAGATGCCTGTTCACAAATCATGCTGAAAATCCTCTCGAAACGTTAGCTTCTGGTAAAAAATTGTCTGAAATTTCAACCAGCATCTTATTAAAAAGCAATGACAAAGTTATGAAATGACAAATTAGGTATCAATGCTTGTTTGGATTCGTAGACATTTCATTGAAATGCAAACTGAATACAAAAACGTTTAACTTGTCAAAGGCAATCAGAAAAGATCCCAGGAACTTATAAACTGACAAAGTTGATGTTTTAAACTGGCCGCAATTTAAGACAATATTACATTTTAACTATGAGCATTGAAAAAAATCATCCTTGTAGAATAAACAAAAATGAATATAGAAAACGCCCAGTTATATCATAAATGTCTTTGAAATAAGAGAAAACGTTTATTTGAAAAAGATTGGGTTAACGAGAATAAGATTCTTAAATAAAAAAATCCAGTTATTTATATCTCAGAACGATAAAAATAACATTTCTATGAAGCTGATAAAAAAGATTCGTTGGACTAGAAAACCACAGCATCATCCTTTACATCTTTAAGGGTGATGAAGTAGGAAAGAGTTTTTACGATGGATAGCAATAACAACATTCTCCCTTAATCTCGTATTTCCAAAGCCATTGGGTCATGTAGCAGCTTATGCTTGATACAATAGTGATACAATCAAACCATTGCAAAAAAACATTCAATGAGTCTCAATTTCTTCTTACCAAATTGCGTTTTAGAAAGATGCTTTGGTTGACCATTGACCACACTTGCAGCGATGGGCAGTCTTTTATTCTCTAGGTAAGCTTCGGAAAGCTTTTGGTCTGAAAAGCAAAAGCAGATTGGCACTAACTTTCTTCTTGATACATTGGTCGTTGGAATAATAAGATTGGAAGGCTTGAGTGAAAAATTAAACAAATCAATCACGGTACTAAGATTCAGTTTCCGATCGGCAACAAAACTGCAATGGACTTCTTGGACTTTTGCTACAAAACATCAATTTTAGATATGCTTGCTAAGCACATTTATATAAATTTGCTATTGATCACCGATGAGGAAATCACAGTTTTACTCAAAGTGTTCCTGACAAATTGCAATGCTGGTTTCAGACCACAAAAAGGAGGATATTACTATAAGGAACATTTGTCGAGTTTGCTTGGGTCCTCTTATTGCAAGGCCAGACTACATGACAAGCCTGCAATGCAAGGAACAATTTGCATATACTGTAGCACGCCCCAGCTAGCTGGAATATAACGAAAGCCAATAAGCCTATCGCATGTCTATATTATAATAAATATTTCAAATAATCAGTTCGCTACCTTTAGGTTCCATGAAATTTGTTTATCGCGGAGCAAAAACATACCATAGCATTTCATAAAAGATTAGTTTTTCATTGGGTCATGTTTTGCTTGCGAAAAAATAGTCCAATTTTGATGACAATAATATTATCGATCACTGAGAAAATAATCAGAAATGACGGTCTTAAATCTGGTTAACCATTATACTACATAACCAGGATGTTATGAAGTCAAAATTTTAATACAAACTGCTATTGAATTTTAAAAGATTTCATGAGGATGTCACTAACAAGCTTATCTGAAGATTCCAAGCAACACAGGAGCCTCTAGATAAACTAACCTTTGAAAGTGAATTCCATCATTACTTTGAAGGCAAATCTAATATGAATACTTGAATAAAAGATCAAAACAATTTTCTGGATCAACTGTGGAATTTCAGTGACCACTGGTTTGAAATTTTTGAAATATTTTGCATTTGTATTTGGAACGAGAGATGGTAGGGTATTTCCTACGGCAACGCTTTTCTTCTTTATAAATGGCAATATTCTGCACTGCATCAAAAATTATTTCCAGGAATATATCATGGTTAAGATCGTATAGAGCAATGGCATACATTTTCGCTATGGGTCTTTGGATCCATTAATGTCTATTTGACTGCCGTTACCAACTTTGAATGGAGTCGATATGCTGGCTTATAACAATTACTTTGCTTCTGTGACTGCGATTAAAATATCTTAAAGTCCTCGCTATTCATGTTATTGATTCGCTGACAATTTCTATCGAAAAAGTTGCCAATAATAATCATAAACTTATGATTCTAAAGATGATTCTGCCAAGGCTTGAATGAAGAAAATAATTGCATAGAAAATCAGTGACCCTGTCTTCACTAAGGTTACAAAGTGCTGGTGGTCACGGAAACAGCAAATAAATTAATATTATTGGAATTTTCTATTTATATATTTTACAATGCAGGGATGTTAATAGTAATTAATGAATCCCAATATAATTCATATCACTTTCCGTAAAACATGAATGAAAGTGAATCAAATTAAAGGAAATTGAATCGATTGACAGCATATCTAACTTCCTAAAGTCCTCACAATCGACTAAAATAACATAAGGAAAAGTCAGGTACATACCTTAATTGAAATCGTGACACTATTCACCATCTGATGACTTTTCCATGACCTTGCTAATTCTGATCGACTGGCAATTGCTAATGACCAGCCCAGGAAGGTGTGCTACCAATTATCATCGAGGCATCGTCACACCAATCGATACTGCATCAGCTGCGTAAAATGGATGCAAGATTGAATTTGATTGTCTTGGTGCCATATCTTAAAAAGGAAATGGAAAATGTAAAGGTGTTTTAGTCCAGTACAACAAGAGGAACTTCAAAAACAGAAGAAACACAAGCATGAGCGAAATCTAGAAGTTTGGATCGATTATCGGAGAAATCACAATTATCTCTTACACGTGATAGTTCGATAACTGAAATACTATTGCGGTCGTGCATCGATTGTCTAAATTAATCTGAATGCTTGAAATTTAAGGGCACGAAGAATTTTGGAAGGAAAAATCAGTATTAAAAGGGTGCTGTAGTGGGTGTGAAGTATAAAAAGGATTAAAGTAAAATTGGTGTTAGTTTGGAACTTCATCAAGACCAAACGGTTTGACAGGTGACACACCATACATGACTGGGGTAGTCAACTACTTCTCTTGTACAGAAATTATCTGCAAAAAAGTGATGGGTCTACATTATAATAAGACGTATTTTGATTATAATCAAATTATTTATAGGTGTCCTTCGCTTCAAGGATACATCTGAAATGAACATCAAGTCCGTGCACAGCAGACTAAACTTATTGAAATTGCTAATTGCTTTAATGACAATGAGGTTTGAGAGTTCATAATCGGCTTGAGTTAGTAAGACACCCAAAACCCAAAAGAAAAATTATGCAGACAATAGGAAGAAAGAAAAAAGGAAGAATTTTTGTTTTATTTTCTTATTCGGTATTGAACCAATATTAAATGTGATGGCGCTGGGTGCGGTTTGACATCTGCTAAAGAATTAACGAACTCTTGTTGAGTAAAGGATCATTAAATTCATTATTTTCTTTTTCAAAAGAAGGATTTAGCCACAGGTGATTTAGATATTTTATTTTACTGACTAGCACCACGCGTGTTCCTACCCTCGAAGGGTTATTACTATCTATCCATAGAGTCTATAAGGGAGTATCTTTCAGAGGATAGTAAAGGATCTCCAGGATGATCAACGTTGAAAGATTTACCACTGTTAACGGCAAAAGAGAGATCACGGAGATGCAAAAAATTGTTCGTTTCTCGTGGTAAGATCAAAGATAAGATCAGGGTGGTGATCATGGGAGTGATCAGGGTAGTGATCATGGGAGTGATCAGAGAGTGGTAAAAAAGTGATAAAGGAGTGATCAGAGGAGTGATCAGGGAAATGATCAGAGGAGTGATCAAGGAAGTGATCAGGAGAGTGATAAAGGAGTGATAGAGAAATGATCAGGTGAGTGATTAAGGGGGTGATCAGGGGAGTGATCAGGGTAGTGATCAGAGGAGTGATAGAGGAGTGATCAGGGGAATGATCAGAGGAGTGATCATGGGAGTTAGCAGGGGAGTTATCAGAGGTGTGATTTGGGGAGTGATCAGAGGAGTGATCACAGGAGAGATCAGGGGAGTGATAAAGGAGTGATTCGGCAAGTGATCAGGGGAGTGATCAGAGGAGTGGTCAGGGAAATGATCAGAGGAGTGATCAAGGAAGTGATCAGGAGAGTGATAAAGGAGTGATAGAGAAATGATCAGGTGAGTGATTAAGGGGGTGATCAGGGGAGTGATCAGGGTAGTGATCAGAGGAGTGATAGAGGAGTGATCAGGGGAATGATCAGAGGAGTGATCATGGGAGTTAGCAGGGGAGTTATCAGAGGTGTGATTTGGGGAGTGATCAGAGGAGTGATCACAGGAGAGATCAGGGGAGTGATAAAGGAGTGATTCGGCAAGTGATCAGGGGAGTGATCAGAGGAGTGGTCAGGGAAATGATCAGAGGAGTGATCAAGGAAGTGATCAGGAGAGTGATAAAGGAGTGATAGAGAAATGATCAGGTGAGTGATTAAGGGGGTGATCAGGGGAGTGATCAGGGTAGTGATCAGAGGAGTGATAGAGGAGTGATCAGGGGAATGATCAGAGGAGTGATCATGGGAGTTAGCAGGGGAGTTATCAGAGGTGTGATTTGGGGAGTGATCAGAGGAGTGATCACAGGAGAGATCAGGGGAGTGATAAAGGAGTGATTCGGCAAGTGATCAGGGGAGTGATCAGAGGAGTGGTCAGGGAAATGATCAGAGGAGTGATCAAGGAAGTGATCAGGAGAGTGATAAAGGAGTGATAGAGAAATGATCAGGTGAGTGATTAAGGGGGTGATCAGGGGAGTGATCAGGGTAGTGATCAGAGGAGTGATAGAGGAGTGATCAGGGGAATGATCAGAGGAGTGATCATGGGAGTTAGCAGGGGAGTTATCAGAGGTGTGATTTGGGGAGTGATCAGAGGAGTGATCACAGGAGAGATCAGGGGAGTGATAAAGGAGTGATTCGGCAAGTGATCAGGGGAGTGATCAGAGGAGTGGTCAGAGTAGTGATCAGGGAGTGATTAGGGGATTGATCAGGGGAATGGTCAGAGGTGGGGGGTCAGGGAGCATTGGTTGAATCGGAGATAGGATTAGTTGAAAGTTCAAGGGGAATGTTACCAAAAATCAAGGTTACAAAAAATGGTATAACATGTACAGATCAAAGCTTATTGTAAATCGAAACTCATTCTAATTCCAGAAATATCGAGTTGGAGAGGAATTATGTGATCCGGACCGACTTTCAGCAACTTGCTAAAGCATTTCGCCTGACAACTAAAACATGTGATTTTGCAATCGGGTAGCATTTACTGCAAAACGGCCAGAATGTGCCAAAAACTATGATAGAGGCATATTTCGAAAAATTGAGAGAGCCTTGTCCTCGTTCCATCTAGCAGTTTTAGAATGTATCTACAAAGAAATGAAAAACTTCTATTGCGCAGATAAAAGTAGTTCATTTATAAGCAGGAGGCACTGATTGGGCAACCTTTACAGTCATTTGCTCATTTTTCTGATTGGCCTACTTCGATCCACAATTGGGTGTAAACACTTCCTAGCTTAGATTTTTTATCACAATTCTGACGTTTTATATTTAGACGTATTAAAACATTTGCTTTTCTAGGAAGCATGTCAGAAACCCTAGAATGTCTTGCGAATTTTAACAGGGGTTCATTGTCAACATTGCACGTACCAGTCCAACTGCCACCTTTGTTGCCGACAACAATCGTACGAGAAATGTGCCCATTCTACACGCAAGCCCCAAGTAAAAAATAAAGCTTGCAAAAACAACATTCAAAAAACAATTAAAGCAATAATAGAGATGTCAAAATCAGACACATAAAAAAGGCAAAAATGTTGACGAGCTGCTTTCAATAAAGTTTAATCTGAACATCCTTGATAGACATTTATATCTACGTAAACAATACTTCCAAAGATCTTCCTAAAAAGAAAGTGAATAACAAATATTGTATCGTCTTTTTCCACCCTAATTTAAAGTTAGATTTGATGAACAGATGTTGGTAATAGTTCATACAAGGAAGCTGTGCTTTTTGTGTCCTAAAATGCAGAAGTTTTCGCTTTAACTGCAATAACTATGGTTGAAACTTTCCTTTCAATGTACATATGACATTGGGTCAATGGTCGTCGGATAGAATGAGCTTATTAGTGAATGGCCATGGGAAGCTCGATCTAATCAATTTAATCCATTGAACTCCAAAATGATTAGGTCTTAGGCTAAATTTTGTTTACGTTCTTCATTCATTAGTTTCTTGCCCTGAATGAACAGTTGAATTCACCACGTGCATTTCAATTCACAATGTTTATTTATCAATTTAATGGTGGCGAAAACAGGAAACCACATTATAACGGCAGCTAGCTTTCTACGATTACGAATGAAAGTACCAAATCATTCTTAGTCATATGTAAAGCTGATATCTTATCCGACCCACTGGGTATCAAATCCAAACATTATCTACGTCACAGTTTAAAGAATAATAAGGTGTTCTCGATACATGATACACAATGAGTGGACCTCAAACCCTTTTCAAATCTCCTTACAGTTAAGTGCTGTCTATTACTTTTATAACGCTATTAAAAAGCAAACAGTTACGTATTATTTGCTCCGAGCTCTAAACATAATTCACAACCAAAGCTGACAACCCATCAATGACATCAGTTCACAATTCAAGAGAAGAACAATCCACTATTGCCTTAGCACAGTTGCCAGCAGGCACCGCGCAGCCATTGGGCTTGCAAGGGCTATAGCCCCTCCACCTTTTTGCAATATTAGGTTAGAAAACCTTTTGGAAAGCTCACTCTAACTATGCTCTAACGCAAAATTGAATCGTATACTCCTAAGGAGTAGCAGTTCTTCTTAACTGGGAATTCTTTTTGTTCATTTTCTAGGTGTTTTTCTTGCTGTTTTATTATCCCCAAGCTAATTTTATCTATTTTTTCGCTATTGATATCTTCTCTGGACCAGATTGTTTATAAAACTCCAGTAGAAATAAGCCAGTACTTTAAAAAGGGGCGTTTCCGTCGTTCTAGTGGGCGTGGCCTCAAAAAAATTTCTGTTACGCCCTATTCAGCCCTCCCACATTTAGACTGGTGCGCGGTCCCTGGTTGCCAGCATAAATGCAACTGCTAATGAAGAAGTCTTTGCATAGGCTACGGGGACATTAAAAAACTCTAGAAACGAGACCCGAAACCATTCAAGGAATCTGGAAAATTTCTACAGCTTTTGGCCTTTCCTTCATAACTCTGCGATAATATTTTTATCTAGAGGTACATCTGACTAAGAGTTACTTCTTGATAATGGTGGGCTTTGAACTGATGGACACTTTTCGTATAAGAAATGCTTTTAGAAAAGATCCAAAGCAGTGTAAAAAACAATTAGAAAAATTCAGTTGATAGTTATGACTGGAGTTCGTTTTACAAAAACTTGCTGCCCTTGCTTTGGTTTTTTATCTAAAGTTCTATATCTTCCCTCTGGCTCTTTGATATGCAGAAACTATTTTCCAAAATTCTAAGCAACTCATTACGTAAGCCAGTACTCGATGTAAGCTGTCACAAGTTTTCGAGATGTAAATGTGTATGGCAGTGTTATTATGATATAGTTTTCTAAAAAAAGTATTATTAAATTGAAAAGACCTGGTCAAGGCGACAAAACAAGAGCTGAATATTGGAAAATTTCATGCA